CTCTCAGTTCAGAGAAACACAATGGCTTACCCTAGTTCTTTGCATTAGTGGACTTTATTTTTGGTAGTGAGTCAGCCTTTAATGGCTGAGCCATCTCTCCAGCCCTACATTTGTGGGTTTATTACTAGAGCCTCTTTCTCTCTCCTATTTAGAAGTTGGGCTTTTTTTGTTTTGTTTTGGTTGTTTTTTCCAAGACAGGGTTTCTCTATGTAGCTTTGTAGGCCAGACTGGCCTCGAACTCACAGATCCACATGCCTCTGCCTCCGGAGTGCTGGGATATGGGATCAAAGATGTGTGCCACGACTGCCCAGCTGTTTTTTGTTATTTTCATGTATGGTTGGGTCTATGTGAGTGAGTTACAGGCTTCACTTTTGATTTTTTTTCATAGTTGTAAGCCACCTGGACCCTTTTATTTTACATGTGTGAATGTTTTGCCTGTGTATGTGTCTGCACTATCTGTGTGCAGTGCTCATGGAGGCCAGAAAAGGGCATCAAATCCCCTAGAGCTGGTGATGGTGTTCAGTCCTCTGGAAGAGCAGTAACCCCTGCCTATTTTTTATTTTTCTTTCTTCTTCTTCTTCTTCTTCTTTTTTTTTTTTTTTTTTTTGGTGACAGGGTTTCTCTGTGTGTCTCTGACTGTCCTGGAACTTACTCTGCAGACCACGCTGGTTTTGAACTTAGAGATCGGCCTGGCCTGTCTCTGCCTCTCAAGTACTGCTTATTTTCTTAATACCTTGGTTCTGTTTTTATTTTTATTTGAATAAGGGTTCCATTCTTACTAGGAAGAATACAAACCTTCACACACACTTTTTTCTTTTTCTTTTTTTTTTAATCGGAGAAAGGTTCTCAGTTTGTAACCCAGGCTATCATGAAACTTGCTGTATAGCCCTGGCTCCATTCAAACTTAAGAGAGTTCCACCTCAGTCGTGTCCAGTGCTTAATCTTTTTAAATACAAGCTCCTCCTTCTAGCCAGCCCTGCTTTAGTGCAGCTTAAAGTCAGTTCTAGGCTGTTATTCTGTCCAGATACTGGTTGTTGTGGATTCATAAGAGCCGTGTATTTCACTGTGATTGGATTAGTTATAGACATCCTTATGAAGCTATTTTTCATTTTCTTCTGCAGCCTTTTCTTCCCCCTTCTTCCCCTCTTCCCACTTTCCTGTTTCCATTGCTAGGGTCAGACAAACCTAGGGCCTCCTGTAGGCAGACCAAGTTCCCTACCCCAAACCACTTAAATTTGACTGTGTTAGCTGGTGACTTACTTTCTCGGCAGAGCCATCATCTTGATGTGAAGTTTGTTTTCTTAAGATCTCGACCACTTGATAGCTTCCCTTCCCCAGACCAAGTATTGTATCTCAGGAAAACATTAGGTCATTTCATAAAATTTGGGGCGTTTTGTCTCCTTTCCCCCTCCATTTTTAAAACGATTTATTTATTTTATGTGAATTGGTATTTTGCTTGCATGTTTGTCTGTGTGAAGGTTCCAGATCCCCTGGAACTGGAGTAACAGACAGTTGTGAGCTGCCACATGGGTGCTAGGACTTGATCCCAGGTCCTCTGGAAAAGCAGCCAGTGCTTTTAACCACTGGCCATCCCTCCAGCCCCACCCTCCGTCCTATTTTCTGAGAACCATTCTCTTGATGCTAAACTTGTTATGTTACAAGGCTGGTCTTGAACTCTTGATCCAGTCTATACCTTTCAACTGTTTGAACACAGGCATGTGACACCACACCAGCCTTAAGTCCTAAACTTCTTTTGGGGGTTGGGAGGAGGGTTTTAAGACTCTGGCTTTCCTGGTACTCTCACTGGACTACATCCAAACTGACCTTGAACTCAGAGATTGGCCTGCCTCTGCCCACCAAGTGCAGGGTTTGTGTGCTGCCACTGCCCAGCAATTCCTATTCTCCCAAGGCTAAGAGCTCAACTGTTTTGCTTATTGAAACTAAAGTTCTGTCCATAACTGTGTTACTATTCCTATGAGAGAGAGTTTGAAATGGGATAGTATTATGCATTCCTAGGTTACCTTGACAAAGAGGGAATTGACAGCTGCTCCGTGTTTACAACTTTGCGGGCTAGTCACTTTTCAAGGAGAGTTGAAAACAGACTGGTCTCTATGGAGAGAACGGCCCTGAAGTGTCTACAGAAACACATTCTTCACCCTGGTCCTTCTCTGGACACAGTTCTGGAGGCTACTGAGGACACACTGATGTCTTTGAGACCTAGGCCATTGACCTGTCAATCTTATTGATTAACATTAGCCCCTGTCTCTACACATAGAAACCCTGTCTCGGAAAAAAAAAATCCCGATAGACACATTTTGCCAAGAACGTCTGTTATCTCTTAACAGATTGTGTAACCGTAATTCCATTCAGGGCAGCTGGTATTTTAAGAGTGAAGTGGACTTGAGTTCCTCAATGCTAATTGGTGTTGTGAGATCAGAATCCCTAAGGTGAAAAGATAAGTAGGAAAGAACTTATTTTGTGGGCCGGGCAGTGGTGGCGCACGCCTTTAATCCTAGCACTCGGGAGGCAGAGGCAGGCGGATCTCTGTGAGTTTGAGGCTGGGCTGGACTGATAGCCTCCGAAACAATACAGAGAAACCCTGTCTCGTAAAACCCCGCCCAAAAAAAACCTGGTATTTTGTGAATAACTTAAAAATGAATATAATGTGATTTATGGGTTTATGGGTTTGACAGCTTCTTTTCAATCAGCAGTATATGGAGAATTTGTAGATTTCTTTTTTTTTTATGTAGTAAAAACCACCCCCAAATGATAAAGGAATGTTCTACCAAGTTTCCACACTGACTCGTCTCTATCCAGTGCATTTCAGTGGATGGTTGCTTTGTCATTTTGATGACCCCCTCTGCCTTCCCTGGTCCTTGACTTTACAGGGGGGAGGAGAGAGACACTGTGGCTCCTGCTGGTCTCCATTGTGAATCCCTCTCCCGTCTGACTTAGTGTCTGCACAGCTCTACCACAGCATAGAGTGGAGGTTTATTACCTACCAACTTGTATTTTGTTTGTTTGTTTGATTTTTGGAGGCAGGGTTCCTCTGTATTGTTTTGGAGGCTGTCCTGGAACTCCCTCTGCAGACCAGGCTGGCATCGAACTCACAGAAATCCGCCTGCCTCTGTCTCCCCAGTGCTGGGATTAAAGGCGTGAGCCACAAGTGCCTGGCCCAATTTATTTTTTTACATTTTTCATTTAGTTGGCCTTTAGATTCTTATACAAAATGGACTATATTAAGGACTCCTATGTGTGATTCAGTGTGTAATTAGAGACCTGTTGTGTCTGGCATGTGAGTTGTACTAAATAACATGATTTAGGAAAGAGAATCTTTGTCAGGTAGATGCAAGCAGATTAAATGTTGATTTCTTGCCTCCCTTTGATACAGGACAGAAAAGATGTCTAGTTTTTTAGAACTGATGAGCACAAGTATAAGCCACAACTGTAAATATTGAAGGTTTCTTTTGAGGTGAGGAGGCTATCGTGCTGGAGGCTGAACCCTGGTGCATGTTTTATCACCCCCAGCTCTGTTCTCCCTCTTTTCAAGTATGATGTGATCCTGTGTGACTGCCACAGATGATCCTTTACTGATAGTGAACGTTTAGATTGTTCCTGGTATTTGAATGTTAACACATTACAGCTATGAGCTTTGGTGTGAAGGTATCTGTAAGTATGTTGGCATGTTCTTGGGAGTAACTTTTTTTTTAAATGTAAGGATGTTTTGCCTGCATGTGTATGTGTGGTGCCCAAGGAGGCCAGAAGAGCAAGTCCTGTCTCTTGAAACTGGAGTTGTAGATGGTTGTAAACACCTAGTGATACTGATAATCCAGCCTGTGCCCTCTGAAAAGCAGCAGTTTCTCCGTCTCTCCAGCCCATCTACCAGCGGGGACTGACTTTAAAAAAAAAAAAAAAAAAAAAACAAGCTGCCGGACTGTCGGACTGTCGTGGTACATGCCTTTAATCCAGCACGCAGGGTGGAGGCCAGCCTGGTAGAGAGCGGGTGGGGATTACACATGGAAACCTTGTCTCAAACAAAAGAAAGCAAACGAAAAAATGGCTTTGATGTAAAGCTTGAATAAAAGAAAGCTTAGGCTTTGGATTGGTGGTAGAATCTGTTCTCCAAAGTACAGGTCCATGCTCCACTGAAAGCTGTTTTATTGGTGGTGGTGATGTTTTCTTCTGTTTCATTTTTATTATCTTGTAGTGTGGGGAGTGGGGGAGATTTCATTTTAAAACTTTAATAAGTTGAATCCTTTATATCGTATGCTTTCTTTTAAGAGAGAGAGAGTGTGTGTGTGTGGGTATGCGCTCGCGGGCGCGTGTGTGACTAAAGTGCCTGAGGAGGCAGACCAGTAGTCATCCAATCAAATCCCCTGGAGTTGGAGTTGAAGGCCTTTTCAAGCCACCTGCCAAGGTGCTGGGAATTGACTTGGGTCATCTACAAGAACTGTGTGTGTGCTTAATCTCATTGGGCCATCTTTGGACCTTTTCTTTCATAGGGCATCTTCCTCTGTACTTTTCTAATAACATGTTTTATTTTATTGACTTTGAGGGAGAATGCTGAAGTTGAGCCTGGGTTCTCATGTGTGCTGAACTATTCACTGGGGTACCCTGATCCAGAGTACCTTTCCTGTGTTGTCTCGTTATGTAGTCTAACCTAAAGATAGATGGAAAGGGTTTGGTGTTTGGTTTGTTGGGAGCAAAAGAAAGAGTGAAAACATGCCATAAGTGTTATTTTTCCTAGTTTATAGAGAGAGACACATGATCAGAGAGTAAATTTATATTAGTAGCCTCTCTTGAATCCAAAGCTCATGCATATTCTTTTCATAAGGGGTATAAATTGTCTTTTAAATTACTAGAGTTGTTATATATGTTTTATATTATATCAGAAGTATATTAAGTTTGGTAGCATTTGCAAGCTGGCAAGTCTCAGATGCCACCTATAGCTCTTCCATGTGCTATAAAGCCTGTGTAATTTCCTTTACTCTTTGCTTCAGCATTGAAAGCAAACATGAGGTTACAATTCTAGGAGGACTCAATGAATTTGTTGTCAAGTTTTATGGACCACAAGGAAGTAAGTACAGGTGTGGGTATGTGTTCTTTTTTATAATTTTTACTAGACAGTAGTACTATCAACAGGTGCATGTCTTTGAAAAGTAAGTTTTGAAACTAGAACCATTGAATGAAGAAATCGTTGTCATTCATGTACTTATTCTCTCACAAATTCTGGGTTCTGTTATGGATGGCCACATAGGTGTTCCTTGGGAAGTGTATGTTCTGTCCTGGTTTTCTGGGGAGTGTGTGGAGGGGATTGGTTGAAGTAGGAAAAAAGGAACATGGCAATCTCTTGCCAAATAATTGAGTGGTGTTCAATTGTATCAAGTAAGTGAGTGAATATTTGCTTAACTTTATAAAGTTAATCTTTATAACTTTAAAGTTAAATCTTTTTTAAAGATTTATTTATTACATATACAGTGTTCTGCCTACAGGCCAGCAGAGGGCACCAGATTGAATTGTAGATTGTTGTGAGCCACCATGTGGTTGCTGGGAATTGAACTCAGGACCCCTGGAAGAGCAGTCCGTACTCTCTCCAGCCATCTCTCCAGCCCAACTCTGGATGTGTTGTGGTTTTGTTTTCTGGTACTGGTGATTGACCCCAGACTTCGTGCATGCTAGGGAAATGCTCTACCACTGAATTACATTCCTTAGTTTTTTTATTACTTTTAAAAGCTTTTTTTAATGTGTATGATTATTTTGCCTATGTGTATGTCTGTGCACCATGCATGTGTTTGATGTCCTTAGAGGTCAGAAGAGGGCATCAGATCCCCTAAAATTGGAATTATGGGTTGTTGTGAGCCACAGTGTGGGTTTTGGAAATTTAATCTGGGTCCTCTGCAAGAGCAACAAGTGTTCCTAATTCCTTAGTCATCTCTTTTGCCCCTGTATTACTTTTTACTTTGAGGCAGTGTCACTGAGTTGTTCAAGCTATCTTGAAGTTACTCTAGTCCAGGTAGCCCTTGAACTTTGGGTCCTCAGCCTCCTAATAAGTGAGGATAGAGTCTAATTAGAACAGGCTAATTCTGATAGAAAAAGCCTAAAGAAGAATGGATTAATCTGAACATAGAGTACCTTCCATGCTGATTGTAGTTGGTCCTGGACTTTTCCCCCCTTGAGACAGGATTTCATTTTATAACCCAGGCTAGCCTGGAACCCATTACCGTTGCCTTGCCTTGTGAGTGCTAGCTAGCGTTGCAGCCTAGGTCACTATCCCAGCTAGTTCCTTACTCTTTGAGGAATTAGTTTGAGGCCTTTTTCAGGAGAGAGAGGGATTTGAAAACACAATCCCAATGATAATGTTCTGTTTCTGTTCCAGCACCATATGAAGGCGGAGTATGGAAAGTTAGAGTGGATCTTCCCGACAAATACCCTTTCAAATCTCCGTCTATAGGTACGTGATGACCTGGTTCCTGTAAGACATTTCTGAGCTCTTAAGAGGAAAATAAAAATCTTATATTTTGTGAGAGATGATTAAGTCCCAAAATTTTTACTGAACTGAGATTTATTTATTTATTATGTATATGGATCTTTTGTCTACATGTGTGTCTGTATGGGATCCCATGGGACTGTAGTTGTGAGTCCTCTTCAGAACCAATGCCTAGTCTCCTGCATTTTAGACCAACCCCTATTCCAGCATAAACTTTTTCTGAAGTTTTGCTTTGGTCCCAGGCTTCCAGATTTCTGTACAGGGTAAACTGTGTTAGAATGATGCAATGAATTAAGAATGATTTCAGAATTAAGTCCTGTTAGAAGTTGCAAACTTGCACTGTTCTCAACTTACTGTAGAATTTTGTCTTAAAAATACTAAATTTGTTTTAAGCTCTTAAATATTAAGATGGGGAGTTGGGAGGTGTAGCTTGGCAGAGTGCTTGCCTGGCATGTGTGAGATCCTGAGTTCAGCCCCAGCAGTTAAATAGATAAATAATAAGCGTCTTTCATGCTTACACTGTTTGGTTTTGTTTTGTTTTGTTTTGTTTTTCGAGACAGGGTTTCTCTGTAGCTTTGGAGGCTGTCCTGGAACTCGCTCTGTAGACCAGGCTGGCCTCAAACTCACAGAGATCCGCCTGCCTCTGCCTCCCGAGTGCTGGGATTAAAGGCGTGCACCACCAACACCCGGCTCCTGTAGTTCTTTCTTAAGCTGGGGAATTCTTAGTCCTCATTTGGACAATAGTCTGTTCTTTTTCTTCAGGTTCTTAGGTAGGTTTTTAACCCTGCAGCCACCCAGGAGATATTTGTGGATAAACAGATGAGAAATGACCTCAGTACTGCAAGAGTCTACAACTGGTAGAGAGAGGGATGGTAACAGGATAAATGTGAGGCGTTAAGTCTGACACAGCTCACGGGCGTGTTGTACATTAGACCTTGCAGCTGGGGGTTGAAGCCTTTCCACAACCTCACTCCAAAGGGACAAAAATAGGTGCTACTCTCTTCATAGGGCTCTTCTGCTCTGGCTTCCTTTTCCTGGTTTATTCATGTATCTCTCAACTTCAGCGTTATTTCTTTCCTTCTTTCTTTTTTTTTTTTTTTTTTTTTTTTTTTTTGTTTTTGTTTTTGTTTTTCGAGACAGGGTTTCTATTGTTTTGGAGGCTATCACGGAACTCGCTCTAGACCAGGCTGACCTTGAACTCACAGAGATCCGCCTGCCTCTACCTCCAGAGTGCAGGGATTAAAGGCATGTGCCACCAACGCCTGGCAGTGTTACTTCTTTTTATTGCAACATTTCAAAAATAAACTTTAAAATATGTTATAAATATCTTATTTAATTTAAAGACAGATAATTGGCATTCCAAGTATGGTTTTGTTACCTTAAATTGCTGCTTACAGGAAACTATAGTGCTTATGGAAGCCAAGAGTAAATTAGGGAATGTATAGCCTGTGCTTTATAAATGTAGCTATTCCTCAAGCTTTAACCTGTTGTCTTAGGCAAAGGGTATGTTTCACTACAACTTTCTAAACTTTATCCTAAAAAACCTTTTCTGTTCCATTGCTGGGTTCAGACTCTGGACAGGTACTTTACCACTTAGCTGCATGCATCCCCTTGCCCTAAAACACTTAAACTTAAAATATTGCTTATCTTCTACCTAATGATATGGTATACAATTGGTTAAGACAAATGACCAAATTAATTTAGCATTCATCAGTTTTATTTTGCCTTTTTTTACACTTTTCTGGAATTTGATACTCTGCATATGAGTATCATCTTCCCTTGAGGAAGTTGATCTAGTTGAAATATTTGTACAAACTGTTCTTTCCTTCAAAGGAGGATTGCATAAGATTTTTAAGCAGTTTGTAAGGTGACCCATTTTCAGGTTGTCAACAATGTAATACTGTTAAGATGTACTTTAAGCATTTTGAGAAGCAGTAGCTCATTTTAAAAAGGCAGGGCTTCATTTTTTTAGTTGTATAGACACAGAATTAAGCAGAAGGGAAAGAAGATGAGATAAACTCAACTCACTGTTCTTTTAAAAATCTTTCTCCCGTGGTATGTGGTATCTTAAATTTGTTTTAAGCTCTTAAATATTAAGATGGGGAGTTGGGAGGTGTAGCTTGGCAGAGTGCTTGCCTGGCATGTGTGAGATCCTGAGTTCAGCCCCAGCAGTTAAATAGATAAATAATAAGCGTCTTTCATGCTTACACTGTGTGTCTGCCTGCCTGTCCTGTAGTCTCGGGTAGTTCAGTTTGTCCTTTTGCCTCAGCTTCCTGATCTCGGGCATATGCCATCAACCTTAGCTTGGAATTTAAAACACTTACGAGTATGTAATTAGTGTGTGTTGAGTTAATGTGTGCCTATGTATACATGTTGGTGTATCAAGGCCAGATTTCAGATGTCAACCTCAGGTGTGGTTGACATCTACTTGGTTTTTGAGACATTCTCTCTCCCTGGGACCCAGGTCTCACAGTTAGGCTAGGTTGTCTGGCCATTGAGCTAGCTCCAGGGGTCTGCCTGCCTGTCTGCCTCCATTGCTAGTATTAAAGACCTGTGCCATTGTACATAACAGTTCTGGTCATACTTTTTTCATTGTAGATGTTTCTTGGCAAGCCTGTTACCACTACTGCTAGCTATTAGTGACCATGTGCAGCTATATATAGTTTGCCATGCATGATTAACCATTTATCACTGGTTACCAGGGAAGAGTTCTGGACGTGGTTCTCATTTTTCCATAAAACTGATACTCATCTGATCTACACTCATCTGTAGTTGAAGTTATTCAGTACGCTAAGATAGGCAGATTGCTTAAACCTACAAATTTGGCACCAGTTGAACAACATATTGACCCATCTCTTTAAAAAACAGAAAGAAACTGGGCAGTGGTGACACACACTTTTAATCCCAGCACTTGGGAGGCAAAGGCAGGTGGATCTCAGTGACTTTGAGACCAGCATGATACACAAAGGGAGTTTCAGGACAGTCAGGGCTGTTACACAGAGAAACCCTACACAGGAGGGTCTTACTCATCTAGTTCTGGTGGGCAAACAAGAATAGTGGTAATAGACCATTTTATTTTGAAAGCCTCAGGAGAAGCCTCTGGCCAGTAGGAAAGTTGTCTATTCTTGGCTCTAGGGTTTTCATTTTAAAAAATGTATGACTTCTAGGCAATTCATTGTTACATAACCTTCCTATTGGCTATATAAAAATTCCATCTGGTTGCTTGGGTGATCTTCACTTTGGTGCTGGCTATGCTGATATCTCTTTTGGTATTAGATCATTTATTTCTTGTTAAAATTTGATGTTAGAGTGCAAACATGTAATCTTGGCTTCCCTTATGATAAAGTTGATTTTAGATTTATTTTATTTATGTGTCTTTATGAACGAACACTACCTGATGTCGGTACTTGCAGAAGCTAGAAGAGGATATTAGATGGTTTGGAACTGGAGTTATAGGCAACTGTGAGCTCCCCAATGTGGATGCAAGGCTTTTAACACTGAGCTATCTCCCCTGGTCCAGTTTCTTTTTCCTTTGAACTGAAATTCTTTTTTAGAAAAGTGTTAGGTCAAGCTGGTCATAGTGGCACATATCTTTAGTTCCAGCACTTGGTGGGCAGTAGCAGGCAAATCTTTGTGAGTTATCTACAACGTAAGTTCCAGGAAAACCAGGGCTACACAGAGAGAAACCCTGTCTTAGTTTTGAAAAGCATGTTCACACCACTTAAGATTTGTTTCTATTTTTGGTGTTGGTGAAAGCCCTGTTGTTGACAAGCACTTTAGAGATGCTCTCATTTAGTTGCCTCATAAGGCCGAGATGTAACACCATAACTAGTTGGCCAAATCTGTGAGAGTTTGTAATAACTATTGGAGTATTGTAGGTTCTGTTTCACTGTGATGAGATTATATAAAATGTGCCAACCTCAAAATCCTTCACGCACTTTGACATTTCCTAAAAGAAGTGGTTATGTGGTGTCTGGAGAAATAGCTCAGAGGCTAAGGTCCTGAGTTTAGTTCCCAGTACCACAGGGTGGCTCGCAGCGTCTGTAATGAGATTTGGTGCCCTCTTCTGGCCTGCAGGCAAATGGGTAGGCAGAACACTGCATACACACAAATAAATAAGTAAGTAAATAATAAATAGATCTTTTTTAAGCAGTGGTTATGAGGGTTGGAGAGCTGGCTTGGTGATTAAGAGCACTTGCCGTTCTAGCAGAACACTAGAGTTTGGTTCCCCATATCCATGTTGAACAGCTCACACAGTTGCTTGTAGCTGCGGTTTCAGGACATCCCAGTGCCCTCTTCTAGCCAATTTGGGCATCTGTGAACACAGTCATACACATAAAGTAACGTCTTTTTTTTTTTTCTTTTCAAAGCTGAGTGGTGGTGGAGGTGCACTCCTTTAATCCTAGCGAAGAGTCTAATTCAGGATGCAAACAATAGCATGAAATTATTTAGCTGGGCATGATAAGGCACATCTGTAACCCGGCACTTAAGAGGCTGGGGCAAGAGGGTTTTAAGTTTGAGGCTAGCCTGGTCTCCATACTGAGACCTTATTTCAAAAAAGAAAGGAAAGACGGGGAGAGGGGGGTAACTTGCTTAAGCTCATTAAACTGAAATTAAGTTGTTGTTTTGTTTTTTGGGGGTGCTGGAGATTTGAACTTGGGGCCTAGTGCATGCTAAACACTGAGGTATATATCCCAGCCTTTGGATTTTTGTTTGTTTTCTTGAGACAGGGTCTCACTGTGTAGCTGTGGCTGTTCTGGAACTTTGTAGATCAGGCTGGCTTCTAATTTACACCTCCTGCTCCCCACATTGTACACACAACCATTGCCGGTGGCCAAAATTACCATTAATGCATGCTTACAGTATGCCAGTTCTGTTTGGATGCTTTACTGTGCTACTTGCTTCATCTTCCTGGCTTCCCTCGAATGTGGGATGACACTACTTAACCTACTCTCGGGAATAAG